ATCAGAATTCTAGCTCAAGTGCTTGCATGGCTAAGCTGCACAGGATAGTGCTGGGTTCAAGGCTCACTCAAGTACTTTCGCCCCGAAGGGACATATCGAGGCCCTAATGAAAAATCAAATACTGTTGGGGTCAAGCACCGTGCACGCCCCCAACAGGAAGAGCCTTGCCAGAATTCTCAAGCAAAAACATCTGACTGCCTCTGAATAATTCTGCCTGAGGCCAGCTAGTTCAACGGTCAATTCTCAACACAATCGCCCTTAAAATAAAATAAAGTGAAAAAAACTGCAAATCCCTCAAAAAGCTCCAATGAAGAACTGAAGTAGGGAAAGGGGGGTGGGAATCGCAAGGCTGTAAACATACCGTCAGCAATCACTTGAAGTGAATTTTTTATCGTTCCAAAAAAATTCTTCTGTGAATCGCCATAGTTTTCTGTCCATGTCATTATGATGATTGTTGTAGAAAGAACGAGTGTCACGGCCGCCAAATCAAACGGAGCAACGGCACCCCATTTCATTCTGCTGACGACGACGTCTGCAACCAGCCCTGATAAGATGGCCACAGCGCCATTCCCGAATGTTGCAACAGTGAAAGTTTCCGACAGCCATTCATTCTTGAACCAGAGCTGCTTCAACAGCCAGCCAAATCCAATCAGACCATATCCCCACAAACAAGGTAACGAACTTCAATTTCAATCCACAAGAAGAAGAAAAAAGAAAGAGTCCATAGCTGAGTGAGAGTGCCCATGTATGAATGTAACAGTCACTGAAATCAACATTTCACTTGTTGTGACCATAGACACCAAAGGGATGAAAAATTAAACCACTTGTTTCTTTTTCCAAGGCTGTTTTGAAACAAAACAGCTCTGGAAAGCCCAGGCCTGTACGACAGGGCAGTTTGCGGGACATCTTAAACTTCAACTTCGCCATTGGACCATTTCTCCATTTATACGTGCCATCCTTGATTGTGCACAGGCCATGCCAAGCTTCTCTGTCTCAAAGGACGATTATTGACCCCTTCTTGTTGCGGGTATATCTTTGATTTGCCTTCGTCTTTATTGGTGAGACGGCCAGGGGCAGGACTGAAAGTTAGTCTTAGGACAAATTGGGGGGTAGTTTAGCGCCCAGCGACGTAAGTAGAATTTGCTGGGGACCTGGTAGGGACTGTCAAGCAATTTGGCAGGCCCTTGAAAGGTCCAGGGCCTGGTAGCTAATGGTCCACGGCCAGAATGTAGGCATATAGGCAGATGGTAATCTAGGTCCAGGGCCTGCAGGTAGGTTTCAGTTTGCAATGATGTTGCCGCCAAAGGGTGGGAGCACGCGGTAGGCCTAGTGCACCTGAATGAGGCAAGCAGAGGCAGGTAGCACCCGGCTGAGAGGTACTTGAGGCCGGAGGCAGCAGGTATATCATTCCGCACAATGAGCTTTCCGCTTATTCACCCAGCAGTCATGCTGGTGCTCCACCAAGAGGAAGAGGTGGTGGAGCTCCTGGAGGGAGAAGGTGTAGCTGGAGAGTGATGAAGAAGACCTCCATGGCTATGGAGGTGTAGTAAGGATCATATCAACGGGTCAGGTCCGAAAGGTGGGTCACTCACACTACTGAACAGTGGCATTAATTAACAAAAAGCAAAAACCACACATATGCCTAGAACAGTCCTAGGCTATGGAGGTGAGGGAGAAGGACCTCTAGCTAGCCTATGGAGATGGAGTAGAGGTAGAAAAGGAGAAAGGAGGTGGGAACCAGGAAGATGACTGACCTTTGGCTACGGTGGACTCAGATCTTCATCTCCAAGGTTGGCGCTGCATCTGGAAGGCCCTGAAGCGGGTACCAGTGCATTGTGGACAACATCCAGCAGTGTAGGCTTGGTGGCTGAGGTAGTCGAAGGTCCGCCGGGAAGCATTTGCGTTGTCCTTCGAACCTCCGAGTATATGTTGCTCGCAGTAAGGGGGATTTATCGGAAAGTGATTCTGGCTCTTTCGTTCATCGCTCTTGAGGGTGGAGGAGATGTTGCAGAAACGATCAGGGTGGCGAGATGAGGGAGAGATGACATTGGTTCCAGCGTGTGATTATCTTCTTGTTCTTCTTCTTCATTTGTTCTTCAGTCTTCTTCTTCCCTTGTCTCATATTCTTCTTCCAATCTTCTTTCATGGAGTTGCAATTGAATGGCATTGTTTTTTCGTGAGTTTTGCATGAGGAGCTGACAAGGATCATAGCAGCCGATGACATTAACCGCAGCCTAGTATTCAGTTCGCAACTGAATGTGTGAGTGTGCGCTCACAAAAGGACAGCTAGAGACAATGCGCGCGCAAACACATCTGGTGTACGAAGTTTGTACCCTGTTGACTACAATAAACGTTCGGGAAAGGGGAAAGTGCATCCGTACACCTGTTCAAAGATGAGGATTCCCTTTAGAGCCAGTCCAGTGCCCAACTTGTGTCTATATCCGGGAAATGGCCCGTAGAAATTATGCATGCCCGGGGCAAAGGTGGGTCAAGGTTGGTACCGTCGAATTACGGTTATACCCAAATACCGAAATGATAATTTTATGGGCATCCCCAGGCAAATTATGTGCATAGTACTGCCTGGTTCGTGGACATGAGCATAATTTTGTGCTCCTTGACCAAGGCCCTGTGGGACCAGGTACATGTATAATTTAGCACATGGGAAAAGCAGGGTATTACCTTAACTTGCACAAGGTTTGGATACAGATGCAAGCTGGGTGCTGGGACTGGCTGTACTATGTACAGGAAATTCCCATCGTTACATGGGCCACAAACACAATGGGCCTCGCTCCACTACTCTCAAAATGTGCAAAACGAGAGTGAATCTTCTGCTAGAACATGGAAACATACACTGCCATGATTTTTGTCTTTTGTGCATGTCAAGAGTAGTGGAGCGACGCCCAATTTTCCCTTCAAAAAAGACACAGTGCTGAACGGGACACGCATGTAACTGGCAACGAGCATCCTGATGAAATCACATGGATAGAATTGTGTTAGTGGGCTACCCCTTTAAAAATTAAAGAACAGAAAGAGACAAAAAAATGCAGAAGGAAAGTCTTTCGATAACTAATTGAGCGTGAAAAGTTGCCGTCACGAACTGAGTCACTACTGCATCCATTCCTGCCAGCACTTCTTCCCAGCGCAGAGTAGGGTACGTGCACAACATTACACTTTTTGTTTTTGTTTTTCCTTTTGAAGTTTCGCAGGATGCCAGATAGGGATAGCAGGGATCTCGCTAATCGCACATTGGGCCTCGCTCCACTACACAACACTGTACATGCATTTGGAATTTTGGACGCTTTCTTGACCAGATACATTCACAACGTTGGAATTGTCCCAAAGCACCTGGTGCCTAAAGCGTCCAAATGCATGTACAGTGTTGTGTAGTGGAGCGAGGCCCATTCCCTGCCACCGTATCAAGCTTAAATTACAGAAGCAGATATTGCCCCATACATCATATTCAGTAGATTTTTTACTGTTTCTTTTTTTAAGGGGACTATTTCTCAGTTCATTTGTGTCATCCTTGGGCAGAGGCCATGGTAATAATATTTTCTCTGTATCGTTCCAATTTTAACAGACGTCCCGAAGGACAGATTTTGTACTGTTTCATTGTCTACTTTTTTCAATTTTTGGTTTTGGGCACCAGACAAGACATCTACTTTCTCACAGGCAACGAGAAGTTAGAGCACGTACCAAATTTTGCTTGCGACATATCTGACAATGCCCGTGTTCTAATCCTCTGCCATGTTTCTGACCTCTTCAGCTGGCCAATTTTTTTATTTTTTATTTTTTTGATGGAGCTGGTGCCAACTTCCATCTACCTTGCACTTTGTTTCATACCTACCTAAACCTTTCATCAGACAATTTTGTTGTTGTCATCACCAACCCCACATAGCCCAACCAGCTGGCCTAGCTCAGTTGGTACACCCCCGATGAACAGTTGATGAAATACAGACCTGAGTTCGAACTCCAATGGAACCAGATGAGGGAGGGAAGCACTTGAAAAGAAGGGGAGGGGGGGGGGGGGGGGG